GTCCTCCAGTCAAGACAGGAAGGTATCAACGCCTGGTTGGGAGACTCATTTATCTTTCGCACACGCGACCTGACATAGCCTTCTCAGTAAGTGTGGTCAGTCAATCCATGAACAAACCTAATGAAGAACATTTAGAAGCAGTGTACAGAATTCTTCGTTACTTGAAGATGACTCCAGGGAAAGGAATGTTCTTCAAAAAGGGGTCAAATCGAATGATAGAAATCTTTACAGATGCAGACTGGACAGGCTCGATCAGTGACAGAAGATCCACAATAGGTTACTGTTCTTATGTGTGGGGCAATCTTGTCACATGGCGAAGTAAAAAACAGTCAGTTGTTGCAAGAAGTAGTGCAGAAGCATAATTTCGCGCACTAGCTCAAGGAATCTGTGAAGGGATGTGGCTAAACAGACTACTGAAGTAACTCAGAGTCCCTACAGAAGAACCATGTTGGTATTCTGTGATAACCAAGCAGCAATAAGCATTGTTAAGAATCTTGTTCATCACGATAGAACCAAACATGTGGAGCTAGACCGACATTTCATTAAAGAGAAAATCGAATAAGGGATTTTGAATCTAAATCATGTGTCAACTCATCAACAAGTGGCGGATGTCTTGACAAAAGGACTTGCTCGAGCAAAGTTTGAGGAGCTGAATTCCAAGCTTGGAATGATCAACATATATTCCAAGCTTGAGGGGGAGTGTTGAAAGATTATAATAATTTGTACTGATTGTATTAGATAGGATTGTTTTCTCTATTTTAGGAAATAGCACAAATCTGATCATACCATATCAGATTTGATAGGATATTTACTTTAATAAGGGAATCGGATCCCACTGTTTACTGGTGTATCAATCAACATTATTTGCTGATTCTAGCCTATTAAAAGGCTATGGCTGTACACGGTTTCTTAAGAAAAATAGAAGAGAAAAAACCTCTGAGAATTAGGGTTCTCCTTTCTCTAAAACTCTCTTCAATTTCTTCAATTATTTTTCTCTTTTCTCACCCAAATATTCTTCACACTTTATTGTATGGTCTTGAGTAGGTCAAGAGAACTAAGAACACACTCATTCAAAGGTCTTTTGAGAACTCATAAGTTTTGAGAGCTAGAACTCGAGTCTAGTACTCAAAGGCCGCTGACATAACTCCGCCGGAAGGAACAAGCGCACTAACAAGCCGCTAAGCCAACTAACAACTAAACGCCTTTAAGCAATTACGCTCTCGCGGGCCCCGCCACTGAACTCTGCTCCATCAGAATCAGGCTTCAACAACAACAAAAACAGGCCTTAATCCCAACTTAATTGGAGTCAGAAAGCAAAATAAAAAAAGCACAAGTTACTCTCACAAAGCAAGAGAATCACAGCTGCTAAGAGCTAAAAGGTCCTTGAAGCGGGGCCTCATTCAAAGGTCTTTTGAGAACTCATAAGTTTTGAGAGCTAGAACTCGAGTCTAGTACTCAAAGGCCGCTGACATAACTCCGCCGGAAGGAACAAGCGCACTAACAAGCCGCTAAGCCAACTAACAACTAAACGCCTTTAAGCAATTACGCTCTCGCGGGCCCCGCCACTGAACTCTGCTCCATCATAATCAGGCTTCAAGGCTTCAACAACAACAAAAACAGGCCTTAATCCCAACTTAATTGGAGTCAGAAAGCAAAATAAAAAAAGCACAAGTTACTCTCACAAAGCAAGAGAATCACAGCTGCTAAGAGCTAAAAGGTCCTTGAAGCGGGGCCTCATTCAAAGGTCTTTTGAGAACTCATAAGTTTTGAGAGCTAGAACTCGAGTCTAGTACTCAAAGGCCGCTGACATAACTCCGCCGGAAGGAACAAGCGCACTAACAAGCCGCTAAGCCAACTAACAACTAAACGCCTTTAAGCAATTACGCTCTCGCGGGCCCCGCCACTGAACTCTGCTCCATCATAATCAGGCTTCAAGGCTTCAACAACAACAAAAACAGGCCTTAATCCCAACTTAATTGGAGTCAGAAAGCAAAATAAAAAAAGCACAAGTTACTCTCACAAAGCAAGAGAATCACAGCTGCTAAGAGCTAAAAGGTCCTTGAAGCGGGGCCTCCCTAAAGAAAGAGAGCCAGTCCCTCAAACAAGGAAAGGGGGCGAATAGCCTGCTAAAACGCGGACGCCAAAAAAAGAAGGGCAGAAAAAGCAGAATTAGAGCTAAATGCCCACTAACGTAATGGATTGGAAACAATACTCGAAGCATGCAACCAATCGAAGGTTTGAAGAGAGCTCGACCTTATCGGTCGACCCTGCTTTCCGGATTCCTCCGATTGGTTGATTGTCGTAGGTTGTTTGTGTAGCTTAGTAGTATGCTTAATCCGCTTAATATTTTCTAATGTAGCTTAATTATTTCTATCCTACTAGGGGAGGCAACACGAAGGCGAAGCCTAGGTGATGAGGGCAGGTCGATAGAGCTGCCCGACAGAGGGGAACTCAATTACTAGCAAGCAAGGGAGAGAGATTCACCTGACGGAACTACACCGAAAAAGTGCGGAATCAAGGTCCCATAGTAAACTCCTTTCCTTAGTTAGAGCAGGAAAGATAGGACTCAACAGAGCTTCTGAGAGTGATAAAGAGTTCAAAAGACTGGGAATGCCTTTAAATGACATAACTACAAAGAAGCAATGGATGAGCGCCCTAGAGCGAAATCGGTAAAGAAAAGATTTCACGATTCCCTTGCGGGATGGGAAGAATCTCCCCCCCCACTCGAAGTAGACAATTCAAGATCCTCCTTGCTTAATTCAAAAAATGAGCAATTTTTATTTTAATATTCCCCCACTCGAATGAGTTCCCCCATTATCCTGTCCCTCGCGTCTATGCCCGTTTCCTTCATGGGATCGCCTGATTTCTTGTGTTCCCCACCCAAAAGGCGAAAGTCCCGATTTCTATACAAAATAATGCCCAGCAGATGAAATTTTTTCACAATCTACAAGAACCTTGTTTTACTATTCTATTTTCATAGGCAAAACTAACTAGTAGTTCCAAAGAAAGGAGCATCTTGCATAGGCAGCAAGCCTTGGGAAGGCTTTCTTCGTATGATCGGTTCTTTTTTCATATGTAGGTTCCTCAGCAGCAAGGATGGTATGGTCGGCTTGCGCTCTTACTTGGAAGTGGTCTTAGTCGGCAGAACAGAAATCAATGTTGGGGATGGATCTTAGCGTTTCCTCTCTATCTGGAAGTAGGGAATCCCTTGAATAGCCCGTTGACCATCGCCGATAAAGTGAAATCTACTATTGCATGTTGCCTGCTAGGTCATTCAATCTCTCTCACTCCCAGGGTTTAGCTCCTGGGTAGAGGAAGAGGGGCAAGGCATTAGGGATAGTAGCTTCCACCTCCGGTAATGAATGGATAAGGTAGCAGTTAAATATTTCAGAATAGCCATAATGGTATAACTTATTGCGTGTCTGGCCCTCTTACGAATCAAACATCTCCTGGCATCTAGTTTATTTAAAAAAGAGATTATTTAGTCGCGTTCTGGTCATTCTTACCCCGCCCTCTCCTCATCAGTTGAGTGCTTTCACTCCTTTCCCTCATCTGATTGGCTTAACAATGGACTACATTCGTTGTGTCGCCTTGGCTTGATGCGGCGGTCAAGCGAGAAAGAAAACTGGCACTTGCTAGTTGTTTTAAGAAAGCAAGCCATCAAGCTAGCAACGCTACGAGTAAGCCTAAAGCTAGTTGTTTAGCCGTTCAGCTAGCAACGCTTTGAGAAAGCACGAGAGGAAGTGAGATAGTGTAGTTGTTCAGCGGAGTGAAGAAAGCTGTCCGTTCTTTGGATTCAAGAAAGAAGAAATAATAAGAATTGTTGTTTTTAACTTCTAAGCTTTTTTACAGTTCTTAGTTCTTTCGCAGTCTGGGAGGTGGAAGCGGGGAATCAGACTCTGTACCCCCAATTGAGTCGTATTAGTCTTAAGTTTGGCCACGCTTAAAGATGGGTGCCCCCCCACTAGCTAATAGTGATGACAGAAAGAGTCAAGCTTGCTAGCAATAGTTCCCGCTTAGGCCTCAACTGCGATATAGTGTTTGTACACCAATGCAGAAAACTGAAAACTTAAATAAATTGTGCCTCAAACATCATATTGAAATCTCTAAGTAACTAACACCGCTCAACCATACAAAGCCAAATAGCTATCTTAAGCGGTCCACAAAACTTGGAAGGGGAAAATTTAAAATACTCTAAAAAGAACGTAAGGCTCAACAAGATATATATCTTTAAAAGCCACAATTCCTAAAAACCAAAACGGTTCAAAACCAATTTCCAAAACAATAATTTAAGATAAATAAACTAATAAATATATATAGAACAATGCAGAATTAATAAACATGTAGAAATAAAAATGAGTAAATAATGCCAACAATGCAATCTGTGTCCCTACTTGTTAGTCCTCCACTAAAGTTTGTCTACTCCAGGAAACGCAAGGAGAGGGAGAGTGGGAATAGAGTAAGTATAAGGGGGGAAAATGTAATTGTGGAAACTAGTAGCTGACGTGGAGGAGTTTGTTAGAAGGAATGTAGGAGTGAGGGAATGTAAGGGTGTACGGGGGACTTGGGAATGGTAGTCAGTTATTTTGAGAGTGCCTGAGCATTGGGAGGGGGGGACCTCGAAATTCCCAGGCCTGCCTCTGCCATTAACGTTTTCCTCTTTTTGAATTTGCTTAGTTGTAATCAGCCATGGCCTTCGAGTCGATGGCAAACTGATATTGAATAAAAGGAGCAGACGCCCCCTTTGCGCTGTTATTTTTACCTACTCTTTGTTCTTCTTTCTCTCGGATTCTGTTCACTAAATACTCAGGTCTCTAACACTGGTATCAGAGCCGGCGATCATGGCGGCCCAGCCGGGAGATCGGCAAGCGATCAAGCGAGTAGCGAGTATGGAGCAGAGGCTAAACCATATGAATGAGACGGTTCAGCTTCTGGGCGCGTTGGTTGATCCCGTACCTCGACTGTAGGAGGACGTTACGGCGTTAGGCGAACGGTTAAACATGGTTCACGGTTCCGTTCAGCGGATGGAGACCTTATTGGCGTGGCAGTTTGGAGCACCCAATCCCGGGGCCCCGGTCGAACGCGGCGAACGGAATTACGAGCAGGGTCGACGCCAGCGACGCGACTCCCCTGAGTGGCCACGAGCCCGCGACCACCGTGGAAGGAAGCTGGAACTGCCAATTTTTTCCGGTGAAGACCCGTACGGATGGCTATTCCGAGCTGAGCGGTACTTCGCCGTCAACGAGGTCGACGAGGAGGAAAAGGTGCTCGCGGCGTCCATCTGCATGCAGGGAAGGGCCTTGGGCTGGTTCCAGTGGGTGGAGGCCCAGGAACCATTCATGGGATGGAGGGACCTCCGGACGGCCATCCTCCACCGTTTCAGCCGATCCGGGGAAGGGGATCCTACTGAGAGGCTGATGGCACTCCGGCAGAGTGGGATGGTCGCCGAGTTCCGAGATGCCTTTGAAGCGCTGGCGGCGCCAATGAGGGGCATCCCGGAATCGGTGTTCAAGGGAGCATTCCTCAACGGGCTACGAGAGGACATCAGGGCAGAAGTTAAATTACACAGGCCCATTAACTTGCAAGAAGTTATGGACCTAGCCCAACAAATTGAGGCCCGTGATGATGCGGTGGAGAGGATGAAAAAGCTGAGATTGGGCCGGGGTAATAAGGTGGAATACTTGGGGTGGCCAAACTCAGGATGGCCGACCCCCAGTTCCTCCTTGGGCCCAGCAGAGCACCCCCTTCGATCCAATGCCTACAGGGAAGGAGCCGCGACGGCCAAGGGGCGCACGTGGTCTTCACCGGCGTCACAGCATGCACCAAGTGGGGATTCTAAGTTTTGCCGCCTATCCGACGAGGAAGTTCAGCAGAGGAGAGCTAAGGGCCTATGCTTCCGATGCGACGAGCGTTTCAGTCCGGGACACCGCTGCAAGAACCGGCAGCTTCAAGTGCTCCTGGTGGCTGAGGATGGGACAGAGGAGGATGAGGAGTCCAGTGAGGAGGAGGATCCGCCGCCGGCGCAAGGGGGAAGGGCGACGGCCGAAGCGGCGGCAGTGTCTTTGAACTCGATGCGCGGATTGGTGTCCTCTAAGACCATGAAACTGCGGGGCTACTTGGGTACGCGAGAGGTCATCGTCTTAATCGACAGCGGCGCCTCCCACAGCTTTATATCTCTGTCATTGGTGGACGAATTGGCCATACCCACGGAAGAGACAGCCAGCCATGAGATACAAGTGGGTAATGGAATGACTTTTAGACAACAGGGGCGCTGTCGGAATGTGAGGCTGGAAATTCAGGGCCACGAATTGGTCGAGAATTTTTTTCCATTTGAATTGGGGAGCGCCGATGTCATCTTGGGCGTCACGTGGCTGGGCACGTTGGGTGAAGTCCGAGCCAACTGGTCGGAATTCACGATGAAATTCAAACAAGGGAGCGACTGGATTCACTGGAAGGGCGACCCCGCCTTGTGCGTCACTCCGGTAAGTTTTCGATCCTTGACTCGTTCATTTCAGTCTACCGGGGAGGGACTATTGTTAGAATTACGATCCAGTTCGGCTGAAGAACTGGCTGCGGAGGAAGAACCTCCGGAACTACGGGCAGTACTCGCCCATTTTGGGGCAGTGTTTGGGGTCCCCACCCGGCTTCCGCCACACCGTGCGCACGACCACCGTATTGTCCTCAAGGACCAGGCCGCACCACCAAACATCCATCCCTACCGATACCCGCAAATACAAAAGGTGGAGGTGGAAAGGTTGATAGATGAGATGCTGGCTGCAGGGATAGTTAGACCAAGCTGCAGCCCGTACTCTAGTCCGGTATTATTGGTCAGAAAAAAAGACGGGAGTTGGCGGTTTTGTGTCGATTACCGCGCCCTTAACTAGGTTACCATTCCGGATAAATTTCCAATCCCGTTAATAGACGAACTATTGGATGAGTTGCACGAGGCTAGGATTTTCTCCAAGTTAGACCTAAGGGCTGGCTACCACCAGATACAGGTTCGCGACTGTGATGTGGAAAAGACGGCATTCAGGACTCACGAGGGGCATTACGAGTTCCTCGTTATGCCCTTCAGCCTCACGAATGCTCCCGGCACATTTCAGGCCCTCATCGGGAAGGTGCACTCTTCGCACCATGTTTGCAATCCGGCCTATCCAGGTATAATCTTCAAAATACTTTAGAATCGTTTTCAAAACTAAGGAAAATACAACAATAATCAAAATATCCATAAATGATATATTCAACTCTTAGAACTCGTTTTCCAAAGCCACAATAATTTTTAAAAATATCAATTTTGTAAATTCATGATTTTTCTCAAATTATTTACAAAATTATTTGCTTAAAATAATACTTTAGCCAAAAATTCTTATAAAAAACTGGCCAACAAAGGAGGGGTTCTGATATCCTACCTTGCAGCATAAAACTATCGAGTCCTCCTTAAAGCTTCCATGCCCACTCATTGTTTCTGTTTAATCCATCTCCCAAACTTTTTTAAAATAACAGACTACCGTTTAGCTTCCTGTTCAAAATAGTTTTATTATAACCCGTCATGTAAACTAAGAGTTATTACTGTACCACAAACTAATTTTAGAAATTTTCAAAAGAAGAAACAAGTCGTATAACACAACTTTTAAACACTTCTAAAATTCATTAAATGATCAATAACAAAATGAAGAAAACTCTCAGCATAATCACTGAAAATAGAAAACAAAATTCAGATTCTTAAACTCCCGATCAATTTCTAAACATCAAAACCAGGTCTATTTATATATAATTTTGCTAACACTCTCTCTAACGGTAAGTAATTCAAGAAATTAAAAACCCAAGTAAACTTGGAATACAAATTTACACAAGAAACCTTAAAGTTAAGAAAATTATACTTAAAACTACAACAAAAATTAGAAAGAGAACTCACTTTTGAGTTCAAATCCAAAAGTCACAACTTGCTTTTCATAGAGTTAGAATTCCATAAGATTTAGAATAACAAGATTGAAAGAAAATACAAAGGTTGCAGACCAAAAATTGTACCTCGGACTCGATCTTTTAGGTTGAATATCAACAAAATCATCAAGTTTTCCTCATTCTCATAAGAATTCTAGTGGAAAATTTGTCTATAGATGAGCTTCTTTAAATCCAAGGGTTTTCTTTCCTCCACTGAAACTTCTAACAAAGTAATTCCAACTCTCATTGCAGAATAGTGAGAAAAAGAGGAAAAGAAAACGTCAATGGAAATTTTGAGAAATAAGGAATTTTGATAACTTAAGCTTTTATAATACATCAAGTGTTAAACTTGGTCAAGCGGCGGCCTTGAATGAAGAGTTTCTGGATTGTACTCAACAACGGTACCACGTAAGACAAGGGGCCTGATTTGCAAGTGTTTATTAAAAAGAAAAAAAAAAGGCTAAACGGTAATTTCAATAAATCTTGATTCAAAAATAGAGAAATTCTCAAAATTTTAAGTGTGATCACATGGAATTAATATGTAATACACCAAAATACTAAACATAATTACCAAAAATTAAATAATTGGCACACGAACAAACTTTAGTTAACACACTAGTTACTTATTTGTGTCTAATTAAACTTACAGAAATTTCGCGACGTTACAAGTTAATTTCAGAAAAATAATCTATACATACACAAACTAAGATTCCCAATGTCAGTCCTTTTTTTCCTCTTTCTACAAAATCACACTAACAACATTATGTTAATATTTTTATCAATGCCAACCATGGCTATGATTGATGCCAGCAAACCACATGTGTTGACTTTTTTGCTGATTTGCTCTCACAATTTCTCAAAAAGAATTTGATAAAAGGTGCAATATTTTCCAGAAAGAGCAGAAGAATTAACAAGCGAAACAATCTCCATAACCAATTAGTCCAAAAACTAAAACAATTGAAATTAAAAATTCCACAACACACAGACTTTGAAATCCTAAAAGTAACGAAGTCATACACCAAAAGACCATCAGAAACAGCATTGCTCCAAAACCCTAACGACAAAGCATCCGACATGCGAAAACCAAACCGAACATGATCAAAAGGATAAGGAAAAGGGGGGGAAAAAAAAGCAATAACCTTCGCGAGAATCCAAGGGCTGGGAGTGCTTGATGCTGACGGAAGAAGAAGAAGCACCGTCGGAGGTAACACGAGAATGAAGAACCGAGGGATCATCGCCCTAATAAGCTGCGGCGGGGCCGGCGGTTGATTCTGGTACTGGCCGTGGTGGAGCGGCCGTGGATCGCCCTGCAGCAAGAGCATTGTTGTTTGCTTGCTGTTTGGATCACGAGACAATACCGGAGGAACAGCGAAGGAAACCATGAATTTGAAGAAAATAGAAAAAGCAAGGAAAATGTTTGTTGCTCGAGAAAATTCTCACTCCTTTTTTCTCTTCTGTTCTCCTCCGGCAATTTTGAGCAACCTTTCTTCACGTCACCTTGTCTTCTTCTCACTCTTCCCTCTCTTCTCTCTCTCTCTCTCTCTCTCTCTCCTCCCTCTGCTCGCTACTGTTTACAGAAAGCGACTTTTTAGACCGTTAAATTGGGGCTTATTTCTCAAATCCTAATCTGGTGAAAACCGAACTATTTTAACGACTATCAAAAATTCTCCACGTGGTTGTTAGGATACTCTGGTCCTGAAGATCGTCGAGGATCTTTTTGTTAAGAGAAAGAGAGAAGTAACATATTTAAACGTGAGACTAGAAATTATATAGGGCCGGCAATATGGGTCACGACACGACGACACGATTTGAAAACGATACGAATTTTACGGGTTAGGATTGAGAAAAAAGATGTTCGGGTTAGAATTGAGTCGACCTGAAATTGACACAAAAAATACGGGTCAATTTCGGGTTGGACCCGCTTAACCCGAACACGACATGAAACTCGTAAAAAACTAAAAAATACATATATTTTTCATTTCATATTTTAAATTTTATTATGAACTTGTGATATCATGATAGTTATACTCAAAATCTTATACTATTATTTGTTTAATTTCAATTGATGTTATTGTAATTTAGTGTGTTATGAATTTTAAGTTATTTCTAATATGTAAAAAACTAAATAAAAGTATACAATTTTCGTGTCAATTTCGGGTTCACGGGTCAATTTCGGGTCGTGTCGTGTCAGCTCGTAAAGTGGTCGTGTCGTGTTCGTGTTGCGGTTTTTAAAAAATTTCGTGTCACGGGTCGTGTTCGGATTGACTAAAAATTTTAAAAAAATGATCAAAACACGACACGAACACGACACGTGACACGAATTGCCACCCCTAAAATTATATATAACTAACTGTCTGTCTTTCAAGTAATTTTATTTTTTGACGTTAAATTTAATTAAAATCATATTAAATTAAAAAAATATATAAAATAGATATATTTTAATATAGATTTGACAACTAAAAAATAAAATATTATTTATAATCAATTTTTACATAAATAATTAGAGAATGTCCCTAATTACTTTAAATAACATATTTAAAAAAGAGACTAGACATATCGTATATTGTTTGAGAGTTTCTCCGTATAAGAGAAAGTCCGTAATTGTTTTAGATTGGAAAATAATAGTATATCTTAAATCTAAACTTCACAAATTCTAGAAATACCTCCATCCCGAAATCTGCAATATCGCCAGCAACCGTTTTCTTCTCCAATGATGGCGACAAGTAGTTATTCACCCATATTATACATATATTAAAAGAGAGGGCGGGATTCACTGTTCATGTTACAGTGCAATGAACAGTGTCTTCCCGTTTTAGTCCTGCTTTTTTGTTCTGTTAAAATTTTAATTACTGTTATGTCCCATTTGTAAAATTACGATATTGCCCTCTGTTTCAGTTTCCTGTCCGTTTATTTGCTGTGACCATTTTGGTCATTTACTGATTCTTTTGCTTATTTCGCTTGTTTTCCTTTTATCGCTTTCTTTCATTCTTTTTTGTTTCCCTCTCTCTCTCTCCTTCATCTGCTTTCTTCCGTAGCTTTCTGCATTCTTCTTCTTTAAAACTGAGCCAAGGTTTTTTTTCCCCCTTTTTCGTTTGTTAATTTCGCTCATTTTTTTGTTATGTCTTTCTGTTGTCATTTATGTTTCCCGTTGATTTGCTTCTGTACTCCTTTTTTTTTTTTTTTACTGAGATTGGGGGTTTTTTTTTTAATCTATTTTTTCCCTTTTGTTTTTTTCCCTTCCGCAACCTTTTAGATCTGCCTTTTTTCTTTCTTCGTTTGTTGATTTCAGTCATTTTTTCATTATTTCTTTCTGTTGGCATTTATGTTTCCCATTGATTTGCTCCTGTAATCTTCAACGCCCTTTTTTTTTACTGAGAATGGGGTTTTTTTTTTATCTATTTTTTTCCTTTTGTTTTTTTCCCTTTTGCAACCTTTTAGATCTGCCTATTTTTCTAAATATTTGGCCAGATTTCTTTGTTTGTCGTGTTTCTTATTTTCCCAAATTTTTAAAATTTTTCTTTCTTTTCTAGATCTGTTTTTATTTTCCCGTACCTAGATTGAAGAGGAATAGGCTTTTTTTTTGTTCGTTCGTTTTTATTATTTTCTAGATTTATGTTTATCTTTTTTAGTTTCTGGATCTATATTTGTCTACTTTTTTCCCCCTGCAATGTTTTAGACCAGTATATTTTTCTAGGTTTTTGGCCAGATTTCTTCGTTTCTCATCTTCCTTCTTCCTGCAACCTTCTAGATCCTTTTTTTTTCCTCCTCGCTAGGTTTATTCATATTTCATCTTTTTCTTGTGTATATATATATTTATCGATGTTTTATATTTTATTTTTATCCTTTCGTTGTATATGCATGGTACCTTTTTGTTTCATTACGTTATTAGTTAGCTCCGTAGTTCATTTTGTTGAATATTTTTGTCTTCCTTCCATGGTTTCGTTCATGTCTATCAGATCTATGTTTTTATTAATTTTTTTTAGGATGTTGGGTTATTTATTTTAGATCTGTGTTCGTTTTTTATGTTGTTCTGTTTTTTTCCTTCCTAATTTGTTATTCGACTATTATATTGGTGAAGAAAAAAAAAATTTCATAATTTCATAATTTTGTATTCATTTTATTTATTCTTTTTGTCCCTGTTTTTTTATACTATGTTTTGATTTATATGTATTAATTTGAACAAATGTCTAATATTTGTCATGATCTAAATGTGATAATATTTATATTAATCTTTTACTTT